GAAAACAAGGAAAAAACATGGCTAGTCATACTGAGACAAGAACTACAACACTGGAGAAAATTCTAAGTTTCTTCTCTCTGTAACTAGCCTTCATGAAAATAAAAATCCTGACAAAAATTACTACCCTTCTCTGAAATAAATTAACTTTCAAGAAAGGTACTTCACAGTAATTCATCACAGCAACATTAACTTATATTCTGGGATCAATTACAGTGACAGGCTTTCTAGCTGCAATCCAGGAAAATAATCAGGATAGTTTTAACTCTGCTTTTCTGCTCTCCCACATCATGAATGCTGTTGCATCCTGACTGATGTACATGACAGTCCAACCCTGCTAACCAACAACAGATGCCAGTTTTTCAAGTGTTGTGTAGCCTGCCCTATCAATGCAGCTAAGATGATGTATTTTATTTTCTTTAAATTCAGGTTCCCTCAAGTCTCATCAGGATCAACACTACAGCAAGAGCCATCTCAAACCTATAATCCTCGACAGCCAATAACTATTATTTTTTATTAAACTGGCAACCTACTCACATTGTCTCCAATTTGGAAAGAGGATCAGTTAGCAGTCTTTGTTGGGGAGGGAGAGGGGATTATGGTTTTTTTTTTATTTGGTTTGGTTTTAGCATTGCTTCTAATGGCTACAATTAGTAGAAGGGAACTAGAAATGCAGGAAGGTTTGAAATTTTTATTATTTGTAATTTTTCCTGTTACTAAATAAGGGAATAAAGCTACTATTGTTGTAATGGGAGGCAGGAGGATCTTGAGCTCTAAGGTGGAAGCTCACAGCCCAAGTTCATTGATCCTGTCTCTTCTTAGAGCTTTGAACAGCAGAGCCTAATGATGACAAAAGCCTTCCTCAGGCACTAAGTTGGAGCAGCAGATGTGAAATCCAGATCATCTGTTTAATGCTAAATATTATTTTCTTCTACATGAACCATGGAATTCAAAAGTGTGATCTGCATCTGATGCAATAACTGTGTTAAGCTTTCGAAAAGAGAAATGACATGAACTTCTCTTCCATGTCTGCTCCTTCATGCATGGCAGGATCCAGGATATGCTTCCTGAATGGGGCCAGGTGGAGACAATACAAAAATTGTACTAATTGGACCCTTTATGATTTTTATAGAAATGTCCTTTCCTCAAAGCAATTTCCTAAGAAAAGGAAATTCCCTTTCTAGAAAGAGAAGGGAAAAAAACCCAACAAGGCAGCTTGTGACAGCAACATAAATACAGCTCCTGATCTTTTAAAGCTGAGATTTTTTTCTGGTGTACACACCAGTGTTGATCAGGACAAGGTACTGTGGCACCTGACAGCAAGAACCTGTCTTAGGTTGGATGACACCTATTGCAAGAGGCCTCTATGTTAAAGACTCTTCATCTTCAGCTAACACAGTTTGCTACAAGAGCTGATCTACTGACTCCCCTGGAAAGCTACTAACTCAGAAGCTTTAAAATTAAGGTTTTTGTCTAGTAGTACAGTCATGCTATTTGAAACCATTACAAAATAGCTGGATCTTTAATGGTAAGAGGAATGCTCTTGGATTCATTCCACATGTTGTTTCTCACGCCAGTAACTCAGCAAAGACCTATGTCATGAGACTAAGAACTACCATAAATCTGCACAGTCCAGCCAAAAGACTTAGTTATTTTAGTGTCTGGCTGGCAGCAAAAAAGTTGATGTATTTACTTACTGAATATCTGATGCAATTAAGTAACACTGAAAAAAAAAAAGCCTTCAAGGCGAAATGTCAGTTATGTTCATTCCTGCCTCGGGTGTCTGGCTGGTTTTGTTCAGCTGTGATAAGATTTATCTGGTAAAGCTCCTTTAAATAGCATGGAAATGGAATCAGTTCGTGAAGTTTTGTATTCTGACTCCAAAGAAAAGAAGAAAGAAAAAGCCCAAATGAAGAAGAATCAACCACACCTTCATCAGAAAGAGGATTTTCATAGACCTGGACAGAAAAAAGACACTTGTTCTGAAGAACAAGAAAACCCCAAACAAAACCAAAAAAAAAAAAAAACCCACCTGTGATAAGATTTATCTGGTAAAGCTCCTTTAAATAGCATGGAAATGGAATCAGTTCGTGAAGTTTTGTATTCTGACTCCAAAGAAAAGAAGAAAGAAAAAGCCCAAATGAAGAAGAATCAACCACACCTTCATCAGAAAGAGGATTTTCATAGACCTGGACAGAAAAAAGACACTTGTTCTGAAGAACAAGAAAACCCCAAACAAAACCAAAAAAAAAACACAAACCCACACCAAACCCAAAACCCAACCTAATTCCTAACCGAGTAACCTAATTCCTCAGAGAGTCCCTGGCAGTTGTCAGAGCAGGGCAGTCATTCCTGGCACACAACTAACTCTCAAGCTCTGCTTAGTGCTCTGCACGTCATTCTATTTTGTTGGTTTTCTTCGACCTTGCCCATCTTGTTACACTGGAAGTTCACTTGGCAGCTGACACAGAAAGGCAAACAAGACCAGCTGTAAAGCTGAGTGACTAAGCAAGAAATGGGATACAAACCCATTTGAAGGTCTTTGAAAATCCAAACACAGTTTTACTCTGCTCAATGCCCAGTTAAGCAAATAAAGGCTACAAGAACTTGAAAGCTTCCCACTCAACATCCAGGAGTTGGAAAGTGCCAGAATTAACACAGAAGATTCACAAGAAAGTCTGGACTGGGATCAAACAGGCAGTACAAAGTCTCTGGCTGCAGAAGGACTAGATTCACTCCTGGCTGCACATAGCTCCCAAGTGGTTCACATGGGACCTGAAGGGCAGGGCTGGTACCAGAGCTGTGCTGACACAGAGGCTGGCAAGTGTCACCTTTCCTGCAGCAACAGAGGCTGGTATGGATGGGGGGCTTGGGGGCTGGAAACCACAGCACCTACATGGTAACGTTGATATTGACCGTGGTGGTGGCACAGAACAGGCTCAGATCGTTTGGCCATGCCTGCCCCAGGGACAGCAAATGTGCAGGGCAGACACCAGGGAACAGGAGCCACTTCACCAAGCTCAGTCAAGTCTTCAAACAATCTGAGTTTTTCAGACAGACATTAAAAAACCAACCCCAACAGTGTAATTACTGTTCCTTCATGATCGTAATTCCCTAGTCATCCCTTTTGCATCACATGAATGACACCACTGTCAGAAATTTACTGCCTGAGGACCTAGGCTGAAACAAGCTGTGCAATCACATGCATGGGTCTCTGTACAGATGCAAGAGCAGAATATAAATTAGCCCTCAAATTATTTTACCAAATAAGAAAAGCAATAATTGAAAAGTGAAATGCTTCAGCGACAAATCACTGAGAATTAAGAACATACAAGTAGTACTTTTATTCTACAGACTTGACAGTTTTTGCAAGGAATTACCATTGAACGTAGATGACTGCACATGAAACCCTCCCAAGAACCAACAGTGCACTGAAACTCATATGCTTCAAAGGCTTCACCTCAGCCTGTACAAATAAAGCTTCTCTGCACATTTGTGGCTACACAAATAAGCTTGCAGGTCTTTCCTGTGTATTTCAACAATACTCACAACTTGAGCAAGATCAAACGTGGGTTTTCACTCTTGACATACACAAAACATACTCAGCAAAGCAACTGTATCTCCATGATAGACGAGTTCAAAGTTTCTGAAGAGTAGCACCCCAGAACTATTAAGACCACAGCTGTTGCTGTGGAGTTATGAAAACTTTGGTGTCTTGTAGGGCCAGGGGCAGTTAATTTATCCTTTTTCTCTCCTCTAGTCTCTATTAGACCTCTGCCCCCCATTCTGGAGCCACAACTATTCCCCAGAAGAGAGAACCACAAGAGCTGCAACCACAAAGAGACCTTGGCACAGCCCATTTCCAGCCCTCTGCCATTGCTAGGGCTAGAAGGCCACAGGTAAAACACACCTCTCTGCTGAGGGAAAAACATGGCCATATCAGGAGGCCACAAAATAGACCAGAGACTAGTAGTATGCAAACCAGAGTGGCATAAAACCAAATTATTTTGTTACAATTCAGTATTATCTACATGCAGAAGGATAGTACATCACGCCATCCCCCCTCAGTGAGTGTCTTTAATGAGATTAAGGAGGGGCAGCAGCTGCACCTATAATAAACCTATCTGCTCTTCAACCAGAAGTCACAGGACTCATACAGTATTTCCAGCTACCTTTGCTCCAAGGTTTTTAGGAGCCATTGGTCACCAAAAGCACCATTACACATACGTAAGAAAGAGCACAACCATCATTTCTCTGCTGACATCTTGTTACACAGACATTTGTGACCTAAATGGATCACTAAGAGCACCATCTAAGAGGTTAACTGCACAGGAACCAGTCAGCAGAGACTTCAGCTACTCTCAGGCCTCAGAGGAAACACTTACTGATACAGCAAAATCGCTCCTGCACACAGTGATGCAGACACAAAATCTTCATGTTATACAAATAATTCCCCCCAAGGGACCCATGTTATGTCAGCCATACACCCAAGTACTGTCACCACATACTCATGTTCCTCATTTAATTATTTTCCCAACTGAAAACAAAACACCACACAGGATCATTTCACAGTGATGCCATTTAAACTTCTACACTGTGAAAAATGTAGAGACTAATAGAGGCAAAGCATGTTTCATCTGAAGGCTTTTATTTAGAACTTTGCATACGGATTTGTTCTCTGAATTTCAATTATACTCCATGGATTTTATATTCTACTCCAAAACCAAGTGTCTTTGCTATATATATGAAATTTCCTCTTATCTTCCCTTCCATCTGTGTCCTGTAAGAGACAGCAGTGTTCTGCACGTTTATCTGCTGTAACAGCAGCAGTGAGAATCACTTGTCAGGCACTAAGTCAACCACAAATAAGCACAGATGACTGTGAGCATCAAGCAAGTATCCATAACAATTTCAAATTTGGTTAAAAAAATAAAACTAACAGCTGCTTTTAATGAAGACCGGTTAGTTTTTTCCTAGCCTTCAACAAATAGAAAGCATAAGGCATGTGGAATCCAAAACCTTTAATGGAGCTGAAGCTAAAAAACCTGCCATTCACCCCACTTTTTCCTTCACGGGTGGCACCAACTTCACCTCCTCCACACGAACACCAGGGAACGGGCCGCAGATCCCGGCGGGGCGGGACGAGGGGCACGGAGCGAGGCAGGAGGTGCAGGCGGGGGGGCTGAGGAGCCCGGTGTGGGGGGTTGGCAGGGCGGCCGAGCCTCCCTCCGGCGCCCGGCGAGCGCAGCACGGGCCGGCGGGGGGTTCGCGCGGCCCGGG